GGGGGGGGGGTTTACTTTTTTACCACCATAGAGAACAATGGAGGGATAGGGGCAACCTGTTTGGGGGCCCGTAGAATTGGACCCCCTGGTCCAATGTTCTTCAGACATGGTTGGTATCTTGGGGAGAGGCTCCAGCAGCTACCCTGCGAGTTTGGAGCCTCTCCCTCAAGCCCCCTCCCCTCCAGCCCCCAGAATATACCCTATGTTTTCGCCATTGACTTCAATGGCCCATAGGATATAATGGGGCCGAATTGCTGCCGAAATTCGGCGGCAAGCCAATTCAGATCACAGAATCTGAATCGCCCTGCAGCAGCTCGAAAGGGGGCCGAATGGGCCATTTTCGGGGGTGCATTCGGTTCGGACGAACTGAATGCACATCCCTAAGTCCAGCATCCGGTCGCCCACAGGGGCCAGCCAATCACAACAGGGCACAGAAGCTGAGGCTTCCAATTTATAATCTCCCCTTGGGAGTCCGTCAGCCCCCGGGGATCGTTCTAGTCTTCGTGCCTCCAGAGGAAGAGACACTTTCTAGCCCTGTGGTTGCACATCCAAGAGCTTGAGTGCTCTTGGGAGAAGACTGGGTGCGTCAACCCTGGTGCTTGTCCTCTTTGCCACGTACGGATTTGTGGATGGGACCCTGTGAGAGGGGATATGGGGCAGTCCGAAGGGTGTGGGGATTATCGGGGTCAGCTCCAGAGCAGAGGGCGTTTCTCCCGAGCCTTCGATATGATTTCCTTCCAAGATGCAGTTAGGGAACTGAGTTCTGACTCAGCAAAACGTCAAGCTGGAATAAGGGTCGTTAGCAATATTCCCCCTAAGCTGTGGAGTCTTGTGAGCAAAAATTCTACTTTGTGAGCTACTGGCATTAAAGTTGTGAGCAAGTAATTTGGCCACTGTATAAATCAGTTTGCTCTGGAGCCATCCTTCCTGAGCGAAGACAAAAATGTGTGAGCTAGAGGCTAAAAAACTGTGAGCTAGCTCACACTAACTCAGCTTAGAGGGAACACTGGCGTTAGTCTTTAAGGTGACACCAGACTTCTGTTTGACTTCCCAAGGCATATTTGGCCTTCGGAGTTCCAGATGTAGCACTTCCTCCTCCACCTGCAATGCCTCTGGGGATGCTTTTGTATGTGGGCCTGAGCCGGCGGCTGCCAGGCACAGCAGGTTGCCCGGGGCGGGTGGGCCAGTGACAGGGGATGCCGGCCCAGGAGGAGAGGATGGTGGCTGGGAGGCCCAGAGCTAGAGACGCTCAGTGGGGGGAACGCAGACGAGAGATGTGAAGGCCCAAGAGGAAGAACGGGAAAATCTGGAAAGAAACCTTCCCCTTCCTCATTGTTCTTAGTGTGGCACGGAATGCGCAAGCTGAGCAGGACAGGGAGAGGACCGACGGCCCCCCTTTCTAATGCCAGGAGCAGTTGCAAAAGGGGTAGCCCATCAGTGTCCCCTCTAAGCCTCCAGCTCACAGATTTTTGTCTTAGCTCAGGCAGGACGGCTCCAGGCTGTGGCCGGTGCCCTCCGGCCTCCTCGCCCTCCTCCCAGAAGGGGGGGCCTCACGAGAGCCTTCCTCCTCCCCTCCCTCTCACCCCCGCCCCGCCGGGGGACAGGTTCGGCAGCAAGGAGGAGTACATGGCCTTCATGAACGAGTTCCTGGAGCTGGAGTGGGCGAGCATGCAGCAGTTCCTCTACGAGATCTCCAACCTGGACACGCTCACCAACAGCACCAGCTTCGAGGGCTACATCGACCTGGGCCGGGAGCTCTCCACACTCCACGCCCTGCTCTGGGAGGTCATGCAACAGCTCAGCAGTCAGCTATGGCTGCCATCCCATGCACCCAACACAAGGGAATAACTGCCACTAAAGCCAGGGAACCCTTTAAAAATTACAGTTTAACACTAAGCACATGAGTGGAAATGGTGTGTGTGGGGGGGGAGGGTTGGACTAGGTGGCCCCGGAGGAGGAGGACAGGCCCCTTCCGGCTCGGCTGTGACCCTGCGGATCCTTCCAGGAAGCCCTGATCAAGCTGGGCCCGCTGCCCCGCCTCCTCAACGACATCAGCCTCGCTCTCAGGAACCCGCACATCCAGCGGCAGCCCAGCCACCAGGGCGAGCGGCTGCAACCAAAGCCCGTCATCCTCCGCGGACCCTCGGCTGACATGCAGTCCTCCTACATGATGCGGGACCTCAACAGGTCAGGGGGCGGGCGGGGCGGGGGTGAGGGCGGGGAGGGGCCGGGCAGCAAAGAGGGCTCTTGGGAGGGGGGTCTCCATCAACGTCTGCTCTGTCCCAACAGCTCCGTGGACATGCAGCCCTACATGATGCGAGGCATGAACAGGTGAGTCCTGCGGTGCCTCCCCCACCCCGCACGGGCCCAGTAGTCCTACGGAGGGAGGGGAGGGCCCCCACCGCGCCTCCCCCTTCTTTGCCCTCCGTGTTGGGGTCTCCTGTGAATTTGGGTGGACAGGCAGGCGGGGGACGGGGGCTGGATCTCTCTCTGGGTGTGTGTGTGTGTGTGCCTCTGCTGGGCCTGGGAAAGAGAGCCCATTTGGTGCAGTGGTTAGGAGCGCTGGCTCTAATCTGGGAGAACAGGGTTTGATTCCCCACTTCTCCTCCACATGCAGCCGCTGGCGTGACCTTGGGTCGTTCACAAGTTCTCTCGAGCGGTTCTCCCAAGGGCAGCCCTTGAAAGAGCTGTCTCAGCCCCACCGACCTCGCAGGCAGTGTTCCCTCTAAGCTGAGTTAGTGTGAGCTAGCTCACAGGTTTTTAGCCTCCGGCTCACACATTTTTGTCTCAGCTCAGGAAGGACAGCTCCAGCGCAAATTAATTTATACAGTAGCGAAACTGCTCACTCACAACTTTAAAGCCAGTAGCTCACAAAATAATTTTTTTTTAAAAAATTAACTATTTTTTATTTTAAACAACAGAAAACATTCAAAACATTGAACAACATTGGAACTAGATACAGTTATACAGAAGCTTATATAAAATGCTAAGAGGTTTACATACGGTGAAATAGTTCGTAATACTTTTCTGGAACAATGAATTTAGAAGACTCGACATTAAACATAAACTCGAGACAGGGAAACCATTACAGATGAAGATTAGAGTTCATAGGGTAATGAATTGCATTAGCAAGTACATCAGAAATTTTATCCATAATATAGTAATCCCAAATTTTCAATCGCCAAGATGATAATAATAACGTTGGGGGATTTCCAACTACTGGCGATAACCACCTTGGCAGCCATCAGTAAGATCGAAATAAGGTGGCTCAAGTGGTTGAGACGCTGAACTGCAGGCTCGAGACCCGAGTGTGCCGCATGACGGAGTGAGCTCCCGTCTCTAGTTCCAGCTCCTGCCAACCTAGCAGTTCGAAAGCAAGAAATTGCAAGTAGATAAATAGGTATCACTTCGGTGGGAAGGTAACAGCGTTCCGTGCGCCTTGGTGTTTAGTCATGCTGGCCACATGACCACGGAATCGTCTTCGGACAGCGCTGGCTCTTCGGCTTTGAAACGGAGATGAGCCCCGCAACCCTAGAGTCAGACACGACTGGCTTTCGAGCAAGGGAACCTTTACCTTTCAGTGTAGGGATATGGGAATCGTTCGAGTAATCTGAAAGTATACGGTCAGGTTGCGTAGGAATCAAATGACCTGTGATATCTTTGATAGATAAAATTATTTTGGACCAGAACTGTTGAACATATGTACACATCTACCAAGAATGGATGAACGTCCCTTGTTCACCACAGGGTGACTCCACAGCTTAGAGGCAGCACTGCTCACAGAGGGGGTGCCTGTTGTGGGGAAGGGAAGGGAAGGGAAAGGAGTTTGTAAAAGCCGCTCTGAGACTCCTCTGGGTGGTGAAGGGCGAGGGTGTAGAATCCAATCTCTCCGTCTCTTCTCCTCCTCTGCCCCGCTTCCCTTTGTGACCCGGGGCCCTTCCCCCCCCCTCCCCCTCCCCGCCCCCCCCGCAGCTCCATGGATATGACCCGCTTGCCTTCGCCCACCAAGGAGAAGGGCTCCAAGGACATGTTCTTTGTGGCCCGCCCCCCGCTGGCCCGCTCCTCCCCGGCCTACTGCACCAGCAGCTCGGACATCACGGAGCCGGACCAGAAGGTGCTGAGCGTCAACAAGAGCGTCTCGATGCTGGACCTGCAGGACAGCCGGATGAACAGCATCTCCAACCTGCACAGCGTGGGCGACATGCTCAACAGCAGCCAGGCCTCCATCACGGCGGGCCTGGGGCTGCGGCCCAGCCGCCTCTCCCAGGGCAGCGGCTCCAGCATCGCGGCCGGCCTGCGCCTCAGCCAGATGGGCGTCACCACGGACGGCGGGGGCGGCCCCTCCTCCGCCCAGCAGCTCAGGATCCCCCTCTCCTTCCAGAACCCCCTCTTCCACATGGCCTCCGACGGGCCGGCCCACCCGCACCGGTCCCCGGAGGGCAACCCCGACGCCTTCGCCCCCTTCCACGGCTACAGCAAGAGCGAGGACCTCTCCTCCAGCAAGCACATCATCCACAGCCACAGCTACAGCGACGAGTTCACCCGCCAGAGCTCCGAGTTCACCAAGCGCCAGCTCTCCCTCCAGGAGAACCTCCAGAACATGCTCTCCCCCCCCCAGATCACCATCGGGCCCCAGCGCCAGGCCCCGCTGCCGCCCCCCCAGCAGCAGCCCCCGCAGCAGCCCTCCGCCCAGCGCGGCAAG